TACATCATACAAGGGCAAGCCCAAAGGCACAATAATTAATATTTGTTCTCACTGTAACAAATGGAAAACAAGCTCAACCCTCTCTCACAAGCAGTTATTTAACTACTTAAAGAAAACTGTGTTTTATCAAAGGTAAATATGATATCCACTTCCCTTATCTTCTGAGTACAAGGGCCTATTAAAACACCACTACATTAAAGCTATCAACAGTAATTATGAATAAACAAAAAAAACCTAAAATATAAATACCTTCCCATGGTTGATATCCTCAAACTAATCTAACAGAGTCCCCAAAAAAAACACTGCCATGTTTTGAAAACAATACTACATTGGTAATCAGGAGACCTGAGGCTTATCTTAGCTCTGTCACTAAGTGGTGACCTTAAGCAAATCCTCTAACTTCTCTGAGCCTTGGTCTCCCACCTGTAAAGTGATCTTAGGTCCCTCCTGGCTCTATACTTCTAGGCATGGTAAACCAACAAAAAATGTGAAATACATACATCTGCCACTAGATGGCATAACACTAATATTGCTGATCTGAAAAGCAGACCAAAATCTCCTCCAAGACAGATTACCTTGTTAAGAAAACTACACCAGTTTAAATTATGCCAGTTTAAACTAAGCCTCAATAACTCGTCTGCTGGCAAAGAACTCCTGGCTACTTCATAAACACTTTTATTTTGTATGATGTAGAATGAGAAACCTCTTTCTGAACTAGTTACAGTTATCATGAAACAAACTGAAAATTTACGAAGACATGCTTATTATATAATTCTGAGAAAATAAGTTTACAACAAAGGAGGGGTTGAAGGAGGTGGCAGAGACGTGGGGCAGGAAAGAACATAGGTGGAGGGACAGAAGGGAGAAAAAAAAAGAAGCTGGTTTTTTGGCAATTTCTGCAGTATTATCTATGCCTATCAATGTATTATAAAAATGTATTACCATTGTACCACAGAATATTTAGCCTCCCTTGATAATTCAACAGAGAAAACACTGCCACATTAAAATTTCAGACAAATTTCTTGGAACCAGCTTTAAAAACATTAATATATTGGTAGTATCTATAAAACATTGATCCTTTCAGAATAAAAAGACAACTGAAAATTTAAAACGCAATTCTCTACTATGACTTAACTATCACTTTCACTATGTTTAAGTTATATTTACATTTTCCTCCAATTGAAGATAAGACTAGTACATAGCAAGTGCTTAGTTTTAGCATAGATTTTTTAAATACAACCTTTTTAAACTAGGGAGGAAAGTTATTGATTGAAAAACAAGGCTGGACGTGGTGGCTCAAGCCTGTAATCCCAGCACTTTAGGAGGCCGAGACGGGCGGATCACGAGGTCAGGAAATCAAGATCATCCTGGCTAACACGGTGAAACCCCGTCTCTACTAAAAAAAATACAAAAAAAACTAGCCAGGCGAGCTGGTGGGCCCTGTAGTCCCAGGTACTGGGGAGGCTGAGGCAGGAAAATGGCGTAAACCCGGGAGGCGGAGCTTGCAGTGAGCCGAGATCCGGCCACTGCACTCCAGCCTGGGCGACAGAGTGAGACTCTGTTTCAAAAAAACAAAAAGAAAAGAAAAGAAAAACAGCAAAGGCTATTATGATGATCTTCCTTAAACGAGAAATTCCTATCTGTTGCATAATGCAACTGGACATGATACACATAAATTTCTCATTAAAACTCATTCAATGTGTCCCTATCAATGTATTCCCTAACCCTAAGTCAATAAACGAGAAGATACCAAAATCCTTAGTTCTCCAGCAACCTGTGCCTTCAAAATCAATGAGGCCTTTCTCGTTACAGAAATACAGGTGACAAATTTCTTCTTCCCAAATACAGTTTAAACATGTCCCCTGCGTACAATGCTCTCCTCTCCACAAATTTCTGGTTTTTTCCCATCTCTAACTTCCTATCTGCAACTCAAAGTTCACCTTGGAGCATCTACACCACAGACAATCCAAGCCATGTGTTTTCTGCTCAACTCTTCTCAAATGCAAACTTCCTATCCTGCAAAAAGAATTACAGATTGTTTATCTGTCCAAACAAGTTATGAGGCTGGTTACAATACACTTTACTACCAGCTGTTTTCCTTAACATTTCAATCTCCTGAAGACAATCATTTCCTTCTCCTAACAGATAAAACAGAGTATTTCTCAAAATCCCAATGCTGTTTGTACCCCCTATTAAGCATTTCTATAAACACAGCAAATGAATCATGACCAAACTGGGATTTTTCTATTATTTCTAAAAATCTGTATCTTCTCTCCTTCCATTCTGTATCTCAGAGAATGGCACGTTATCCATCTAAGCATTCAGTGTCTCCATTAGGAATATGTTCCTCTGTATATGACAGAAAACCTAAAACATTAATAGCTTAAACAAGATAAAAGTTTATTTCCTTTCATATAAAAGATGTCTCAAAGACAACATTCAGGATTAATGTTAGATCTAAGGTCTCAAAGATCCAGCTTCTTCAGGTTCATCACTCCACCATGTACAGGTTTAGACCCTTGTTCTCATGGTTTAATATGTCTGCTGGAGCTCCAAACATCACATCCATGTTTCAAGTAGAAATCAAGAAGGAAGGAAGGAAGCTGGGCACAGTGGCTCATGCCTGTAATCCCAAGCACTTTGGGAGGCTGAGGCAGGAGGATCACTTGAGCCCAGGAGTTCCAGTCCAGCCTGGGCAACATGGCAAAACCCCATCTCTACAAAAATTAGCTGGGTGTGGTGGCACACACCTGTGGTCCCAGCTACTCAGGAGGCTGAGGTGACAGAATTGCTTGAGCCTACAAGGTCAAGGCTGCAGTGAGCCAAAATTGCTCCACTGCACTCCAGCCTGGGCAACAGAGAAAGACCCTATGCTCCCTGCACAAAGAAAAAAAGAAGAAAAGGAAGAAGAGGAGAAGAAGAAGAAAGGAGGAGGGAGAGAAGAAGGAGAAGGAAGAAAAGAAGGAGGAAGGTATAGAATATTTTAAGGAGAATTTCTGGAAGAACAATTTCACTTACATATCACTTGCCAAAGCCTTGTCACATGACTACACCCAACAGCAAGGGAGTCTCTTAGTCTCTTAGACAATTGCCCTGCTAAAAAACAAGAGTTTTATTTCTAAAGGAGAAAAAATAGTATTAGGAGGCAACTGGCCATTTCTACCAGAGTCTGCTCTTAGTCTGATAGGTGCCAACACATCATGTAGAACCATCTGTTAACCAAGAATACAGCAGACTGCCTAGGAATAAAACCATGGGTGTGGGGTTGTGAAAGGAATCACAGTATAGAAAGAGCCTCTTGTGGCCAGGCGAGGTGGCTCACACCTATAATCTCAGCACTTTGGGAGGCCAAGGGAGATGGATCACCTGAGATCAGGAGTTCGAAACCAGCCTGGCCAACATGGTGAAACCCCGTCTCTGCTAAAAGTACAAAAATTAGCCGGATGTGGTGGCATGTGCCTGTAATCCCAGCTACTTGGGAGGCTAAGGCAGGAGAATCGTTTGAACCTGGCAGGCGGAGGTTGCAGTGAGCTGAGATCGCACTACTGCCCTCCAGCCTGGGTGACAAGAGCAAGACTTTGACTCTAAAAAATAAAAAAATAAATAAATTTTAAAAAAAGAGCCTCTTGCTTCCTCAATGTACATGTGTTTTCAGTACTTCCATTTTGCCCAATCCCAGGTATATGGCTTCTATTTGATGATGTAACACTGCTATGCATGCTCATGTCACTGGTATCCAGTATTTAGAAATTTGTTCTCTATCACATATAACAACAAAGCCAGTAGCTTTTTCAGAGAAGATACAGTTAGCTCTAAAATGAAGGATCCTTCACTGTGATTCTCCTCCTGTCAGAGCCTGCCACAAATTCCACATAGCAACCAGATGGCAGTCTTTATGGATTGTTGAGTCAAGAGGTTGGAGCAGTACACTTAAAATTTAGTATATCCTGACTTCAAACCCAGAGAGACCCACCAGTTACTGTACTTCTTTTTGGTAGCAATGAATATAAGATGCAGTAGTTTATCTTCCACTTCAGAAAGGACATCCCAATATATCCCAAAATACTGTTACCTCAGAAACTTCACTAAGGTGTCAAGTCCTCCAATTTTTTATGGACTTCATGTCCCATCATCAGCTGTGTCTTTAGTATCTTTACAAAGGATCTAAGCCGCCTACTAGTTCACTATCATAATGTCCTATCAATCTATCAATCACCATGATGTCATCACTATAGGGGACCAGGATGATGTACTGTGGGATAGTGAGATGAACAAAATCCCTACAGAGCCAAAATGCTGACCTAACTATGGAGGCAATATGATGACAGTGTACTGCATTGCTGGGTATTTCTGATGTTCTCTGTTAATTAGATTCAGTAAGGCAGTTGATAGATGAATAGTTAACTACCAAGTGCCAGGTTCTGTTTCTAGAAAAGAGACCACATGTGGAAAAAAAGATACAACTGGAGGGGTAGAAGAAGCTTATGATAATACATCATCATTCTCCAAAAGGTATCTATCTTCTGCATAGGTAAAACAAGAGTCAGCAGGCTGAACCTTTCAAGTCTTTAATATGGCACTAATCTCAGATTCAGGATGTAAGACTGCACTGGTAAAAAGAACTTCGGGGGGTTACACTTGGCTCTTCCTACCATAAAGTTCATTAACTCATGGATATGGGAACTAATTTGGGGATTCTTCCATTTGTTGAGCATATTTATTCCAAACATGCAGTAAGAAACAAGATATAATCACAGTACGAATTCATGGATTGTGAAATAATTTCAAGTCAAAGCTCCATTCCATGCCTGATTTCCATAAGCTCCCATCTGCCTCATGGAGCACAATGGTATCCTCAGTCACTGGGAATTATCATTAGCTCAGGTTCCAATAACTCCTGAAAGGTTTGAGTATTTGCCTTCTGATGAACAATTATGCTTGTAAATAACAAAAGACCCCTTTCTTTAGGGAAGGCTATGAAGAAAATTAATTGTGCTTACCCATGATATTATCACAAGGTCCTTCCATAAAGGAAGGTATGCTGCCTCTTTTTTCTTCAAGGAGTTCTAGATCTGTAAAGTAATAAAGCTATAGGTATTAGACATTATGGAGACCTAAAATCAATCCTACATTCATTAGACCTAAAGTGTTCTGTTTTCATTTGTTTAGTTCCAGTATCTAGATCAAGACCTTAGTGAGCTACTCTTCCACGTCAGTCCTAGGAACCCCTTAATCAATTTGCATACTATATTAAGCAAGCCTATCTTGTGTCTGATGGTTACGTTCTGTTACTTGCGGTCGGGCACGCTGGCTCACGCCTGTAATCCCAGAACTTTGGGATGCCAAGGCAGGCAGATCACAAGGTCAACAGATCGAGACCATCCTGGCCAACATGGTGAAACCCCATCTCTACTAAAAATACAAAAATTAGCTGGGCGTGGTGGCGTGTGCCTGCAGTCCCAGCTATTCGGGATGCTGAAGCAGGAGAATTGCTTGAACCTGGGAGGCAGAGGTTGCAGTGAGCTGAGATCCCATCACTGCACTTCAGCTTGGCAACAGAGCGAGACTTTGTCTCCAAAAAAAAAAAAAAAGTTCTGTTACTTGCCTCTGCCATTCCAGGATTCCACTACATTCAGAAAGCTCATTTTGTAGCAGCATCTCTTACATTCATGCCAAGGCCAGAGAAGACAGCCACTAAAGTACTTTTTAAGAATGCTAGCATTTCTCTCACTGTTGTATTTTCTTAAAGGTAGTAGAGAACACCTATCTTGGGGGATGTACTTACAGAGTAAGGAAGCCAGCTGCACAAAATAAGTCCACCTCAACATTCGTAACTCCCCAAGTTTGCCATCTCAACTTTACTCAATGGAGGTCACCACTGAATCCACATGTCAGTCAAACAAACAAGCAGACAATTAGAACCAGTCCTAGCTGCTTGAGCAAGAACCAAATCTAAAATCTGTCATAGATGAATCTACATTAATAGATTCAGCCCAAACTAAAATTAGGTTCCTCCTTTCCTGGTCCAGCATCTCTTTGAATTTGATTTCATATCAATTGCATAGGTTTTTGCTAACATAAACTAGTAAAATTATTGCAATTCTTTTGATGCATAAAACTTGTCTTTCATCATAAAGTTGGCCCCTTGAACTTCCTGGGATCTGACTCTAGCTACTGGTCTACAGGCCAGAAGGTGGTGGGAATGAGCTATCACTCAACAGCTATCACTCAACAAGCTGAAGTCATTACAGCATCTTTAAGGATCACTCAAAGGAAGAGGGGTTACTTCTACTGGCAAGGGAGGCTCAGCACAAACCACAGGTTAAGAATACCTGGAGTCATTCAAATGGTTCCATGTCATGATTCCAATTCCTGGAATCTTACTCTTTCCCAATCAATAACCCAATTTACACCTATGAAATCTGATGAAGCTCTGAGTTCACTCTGCACTGCACACAGTTTAATAACTTGTTGGATCAGACTCCGCACCTTAGACTATAACAGTCCTGGAGTCGTAAGACATAAAAGACTTTTTTAAGCCAATCACCAAATTCCTTAGTACTCTAACGATAACTTCAGCCAAGATTTAAAAATTTAGCCCTGTGGTTTAAATTTACTTTAAACCAGAATTTCTCAAACTAAACACTATTGACATTTTGGGCCAGGTAACTCTTTGTTGTCGTGGTGGGGAGGGGACAATCCTGTGCAGCAGCATTGTCCTAGTCTCTACTCACTAGATACCAGTAGCACCCTGCTCCCCCAGTTCTGATAACTAAATATGCCACCAGACATTTCCAAATATGCCTTGGAGAGCAAAATCACCCCAGGTTGAGAACCACTGCTTTAAACTCCACAGTGGAGTTAAAAACAGCCAATTGGCCAGGCGCGGTGGCTCACACCTGTAATCCCAACACTTTGGGAGTCTGAGGCAGGCGGATCATGAGGTCAGGAGATCCAGACCATCCTGGCTAACACGGTGAAACCCCGTCTCTATTAAAAATACAAAAAATTAGTTGAGCGTGGTGGCACACACCTGTAGTCTCAGCTACTCAGGAGGCTAAGGCAAGATAATCGCTTTAACCTGGGAGGTGGAGGTTGCAGTGAGCCGAGATAGCACCACTGCACTCCAGCCTGGGCGACAGAGCAAGACTCCGTCTAAAACAAAAAACAAACAAACAAACAAAAACAGCCAGTCCTCTCATATCTTTACTTTCCTAAATGGATCATCCATTAGTTCAGCAAAGCTTTGCCTTCAACAGGTACTTCCATCCCAGGTAACCACAGATCAAAAACAGTAAGTGCCATGAACTGGTTACCAGCGACCCTTCTAGATTCCTTGAGGATTTGTTACCCAAAACAGTTTTACACCAATTTAATGGTCCAGGATCAGAATCCACTCCAGGTAGTTTAAGCAAAAAGGGGGTTTAAGATAAGAATCAGACGCTCACAAAATCATTGGAAAAAGTAGAGAGGCAGGGTTCAGAGTGACTGAACTCCTAGAAACAACTCCTAGCCCACAGAACCACTCTGCCTCAGCCATAATCACAAAAGCTGGTACCATCATTGTAGGAAGCTGGCAAGCCAGGAAGCTCCTGTAGAAGCTGCAGAATTAGAAAGCCACTGCTAAACGAGAAAGCTGCCCCACAAACTACTAGCTCAGAACCATTCTACTTTTCTCATAATCTAAGCCCACAGCCTTCCTCTCTCCCCAGGTGGTTCACTTCCAAATCAAAGTGCATCCGAAGGGTGGAACCTAAATCATGTCCAGAAAACAAAGCAGCCTACAGGAAAAAAAAAAAAAAATTTACTAGCCAAGAAGACTATTAGGCACTCTCATGTTTTTGATTGTCATCTTAAAAATTGGTATTCTCCAAGAGATGTAACCTATCAATTATTGCACTGTTGCATTTTTAACCTATCAATAATGTGGTTTCCTGAGCCTGGATTACTGGAATATAGATTCCAAACTAAGGTTAATGTCACCTTGTAGCAACCTCTTTGTGTAATCATCTGGACTTCCATAAAGGAAAATCCTCTGCATCAATAACAACCAAGGTGGGAGGATCACTTGAGCCCAGGAGGTCAAGGCTGCAGTGAGCCATGACCATTCCACTGCACTCCAGCCTGGGTGACACAGCAAGACCTTGACTCAAAAAAACAAACAAAAAACCACGTACCTCTTGTGATTCTGAACCGCAACACTCTCCCACACTTACTACAATGAATCCTTATCATTTCTTGCCCAGACTACTGCAATACCTTCATAACTGCTCTCCCTGACTTCGCTTGTTGTCCACTTCAAATCATTTTCTCGAAAGTACCAGAATTTATATAGCATGTTACTCCACTTGACTTCTCATCACATTCAGAATAATGACTGAATTTCCATCTGACTTACCAAATGCTCATCTATGTCCCTAAGAGTGCTCTAGTTTCAACAACCTGTTTACAGCTCCCCAAATAAGTCAGGTCCATTCAAACTCATTTATCTGCTTTTAAGTATACTGTCCCTTCTGTGGACATTCTCCTCTTTAATCTCACCTCCGTTTCTCCTATTACCAGGTTAACATTTACACAATTCAAAGTGTCATCTCTTTTTAGGAATGTTTCCTGACACCTTATTCCCCTAGACTAAGAGTGGTCCTTCCCTGTGCTTCCATAATATCTTACTCAAAATCCTTAAGGGAGGAAATGCAAACAGTTATGTAATCTTCTCCAGTAGGACTTAACTCTAAGACATAAAAGAAAACAATAAAAATGATTCTAAGAGAAGGCTGAGAGATTATTTCATTCTGTTGTTGAAAGATCTAAATCATTTGGAAACTTTCTTTTTCCTTACACTGAGTCAAAATCTTTTTGAAGTACTCTCACCAACTGATGTTACCTGACATAAGAAAAAATGCATCTATTCCTTCTTTAACATGATAGTGATAGCTTCTCAGCTGTTTGAAGGCCATAATCATGATTCGCCAATCCTCTCTAACGTAACTAGTTTTCCCATCTTAGACTGCTCTAATCCTTAATAGTGTTCAACTAAAGTGAAACAATTTAAAGAATGTAGAAGAAGAATTAGTTGAGAGTAAGAACTTCTAAAAGGATTAAAAAGTAGAAAGAGGGCTGGGTGCAGTGGCTCACGCCTGTAATCCCAGCACTTTGGGAGGCCAAGGCGGGTGGATCACTTGAGGTCAAGAGTTCGAAACCAGCCTGGCCAACATGATGAAACCCTGTCTCTACTAAAAATACAAAAACTAGCCAGGTGTGGTGGCAGGCTCTGGTAATCCCAGCTACTCATGAGGCTGAGGCAGGAGAATCGCTTGACCCCAGGAGGCGGAGGGTGCAGTGAGCTGAGATTGCACCACTGCACACCAGCCTAGGCGGCAAAGGGAGAATCTGTCTGAAAAAAAAAAAAAAAAAAAAAGTAGAAAGGGATAAAAAGTGGAACTCATCTCAGGAAAATGCAAAGATTTAACTTATATAAATAATTGCCTAAATGAATATTTTTAAAAATCATAACATAATACAGGGGCTAAAAATAGAAAGTAAACCACTTTCCTTGTCTTTCATAGTAGGTAATCAATGGATAGTACACATTTGATAATTCAAGAAATAGAGGTTTAATGTAATAAAGTATTCTCTAGACTGACAACACTAAATATTAACATGGCAAACAGATACCAGGAGGTAGAAGGAGAAGATTACTATTAAAAATACAAAATTCCCCATCCTTCATATTGGAGAACTAACAGATGCTGTCTAAAGTTGTCCAATATATTCATTGCTCATAAAGCATCCAGCAACAGAACAAAAACTGACTGAAAAGAGGTCAGTCTTATTTTGTAGGACTGAGTGTGCAAGAAGATTATTTCTTTTTTCTTGGAAAGGAGACTTTTTACTTTATGTTTTCCTGTTTAATGACTGTTTCGTTTACAAAAAACAAAAACAAAACACACACATACAAGTAGCTTAATAAAACAGTTACCAATGCTATAACATGGTAGAAAACAAGTAGAAAATCTGTGATTACATACTTAAGACAATAAAAAGCAAATAACCCCTGACAACTTTAAGTAGT